TGTGTGTGAGTGTGTGTGTGTGTGTGTGTGTATGTGTTCAGGTTTGCACACATTGGTCGAATATTGGCTTTTGGGACACATTTTCTGAGTATACATGTTCTGTACAGGTACATAATATAAGTCTTTATGACGTCACGAAAGGATAGACCTAGCTGTACCGCGTTCTTTGCATTGCACAGAATATCATATGACCATCCTTTTTACATTTTTTCTTGATCCAACGTCGACTCTTAGCAAAATTAGAAAGTATTAATTTTCCTATTTTTATACTAATACAAAAGAAAGTCATTAGGCTTATATAATTACTTTAGCATTTAGAATTCATTGATTCTTTTGTAACACTGGTTCAACTAACGCCATTCAAAAGGCTGCTTTTTAATGGGAAATATAATAAGAGTAAAGAAAAATTGTCGAAACCCATTACGTGACACGAAACAGACTATTAGCGGTAAATCAATATTTTATGGATTCTATGAGGCTTAAATAATCATATATAATCCGCCTTTGTAGCTGTCCTGGCATCCAGACAAGCATGTAGGCTTATGTGGGTGAGTGGAATGTATTAGGTGTATGTCCTGCTTGGTGATTAGTCTAGTCGAAAGACGTAGCGTCAGATCATCCGACACAGAAATCTCTGCATAACGTATAGGATGAGATACGGTAAGATCCGACAATGACCAAAATATATTTTTCCTGCTTAGGGAAAAATGGGGGAGGAGGGGGGGGGGAGGAGATTGCAGTTAGTATTCAATAGTTTCTTTTAGAAGAAAAGTAGGCCTATAATGATGATAATATGTTATTGGACTGCACTTTCACACACACACACACACGCGCACACACAAAAAAACACACACACACACACATACGCTCAGTTACGCACACACACGCACACGTATACAAACATACATGTGTACAAACAAACACACACACACACACACATGAATACAAACACAAACACACGTGGCCTAGAGGTTAAGGTGTTGGCCTCTCATTCAAAAGGTCCCGGGTTCGAATCCGGGTAGTGACCGAAAAATTTTCTTCTCTAAAA